TATTTTCTAAAAAATGATTTGGGGGACCAGATTTGGGGTAAATGATAACCTACCAAATTTCTTAATATTTTTCGTATTTTTTGTAAACTATTTTCAATAAAACTCTTCGATAATTTCGTACTAAACACTTTGATTTTTTTAACAAAGAACAAAAACATTTTTTTGATCTTACTTTCATCGATATTAAGTCTACAGTTTTTTTCATTCGTTGAAATAATGTTTAAAGCATGCATTATGTACAAAATTTCAAAGCTTTTTTCATTAGTTTTGTCATAATAAATTTCATACATTTATCAAACATAAATATGATGTCTGACAGAGAGTGTAAAAGAAAAAATAATTCGGCGAAAGAATTGTATTTCTCTTTCTACCTTTATTCAATTGTTAGCTTCTACTTTGTTCGTTCTTTCGATAATGCTACCAATAAATATGTTTACTTTGTTCTGTTTCTTGCTCTGTACAATATTATTTTCAAAAGTAACTACGTGAAATTTGTTCTTGAACGACAACGAACAATCGAGAATAAACAAGTCACTGCCTATATAAAGAAGAACGATGACTTTTCTTTGCATTCAAACAACAACATCTACTGACAAGTTTACCTGCAACAAAAAATTACAACAAGATCAAAATGAGTGGATCAAAATCTGATGAAAACGCTGTTGGATCATCCGAATCAGCGACATCACCAAATATTCGCCAACCACGACAACGTATGGAGGGGTGCGTGGATACCGATACAACTTGTATCAATATTTTATGCATGTAGATCTCCACAGACATACATTTACGTGTACTCTTTCATCAGTATATGTATTGATACATGGATACATGTATCGACATATATATATATACCTAAAAAACCTAGAATTTCAGAATTTCATTTATCCATGTATCGATACATGCACCCATGTATTCAATACATTTATTCATGTGTCAATACATGTATTCGTGTGTCAATACATGTATTGATATGTCGATACATGAAATTCTGAAATTCTAGGTTTTTTGAGAGTATATATATATGGGTATATGTATCGATACATGTATTCGTGTATCAATGAATGCGTGAATACATGTGGGAATGTATCGATATATTAATACACGTGAGGAGATGTATATCTTGATTGTCGTAGGAGTAAAGATCGATACAAGTTGTATCCGTATTCACGCATCTATGTGTTTTCTATAATAAATATGTTGACTTTTATTTTAATCTATCATTCTTGAAATTAATTCGATATTTCATAATTATTCAAAGTTTATAATCAATAGAGTTCTTATTTAATAATTAAAATATTATTTGTATCGATATTAATTAATAATTACAGAATATTCAAATTAGTAGACATTCTTTACATCATTTTTTTATAGATAAAGACTACTTAATCATATGTTTATTTTGTTACTATTTTAGATGGCTGATATTATTCGACGAGCTGCCGTTTTGGCTATTAATCGTAAGTTAATTTTCGATGTTTGAAATTATCAAGAGAATTCCTTCGAACCAATGATCACTATAGAAATAGAGACAATATGATTTTTTTCTCGCTTAGGTGCATCACATGGAAATATTTATATGCAAATTCGTACATTATTTTCAAGCTCAGGTATTGGTATTGATAATTTTAAATTATCTCGTGAACAACATGCAACACGTTTTGCACCATCACTTGGTAAAATATTATTTCCCATTATTTTCTTTCATTCATATTCTAAACTTTAGATGTATTTAAAAAACGTTTTCTTGATTCGATTGGTCAAAAAGATTCACAAATTTTCACTGAAGATTTACGTAATATGATAATGTCCGCTAATACTGATCCAGAAATTGATTCCGTTATTCAAGCATTAAAAAAGTATTTCAAGAAATATTAAAATTATAATTTATATATATTTTTGTTTTGCTCTTTAGATATAGTGCAAATACAACAAAATTAACTGATTATCATTTTGGTTCACCAGTTATGCGTTTACTTTATACACAAAATAAAACTGATTTAGCATTACAGTTATATATGGATGAAGTAAAAATCAAATATTTAAAAAAAACACGATATATAAGAAATTTGTTTTTAATTTTGAAATAGAATTTGAAAACTATATTCAATGATTCAGCATCAGCACTTGTACTTATGAATAAATTAATTGAAGACAAACGTTATGATGATGCAGTTAAAGTATTTGAATTTGGTAGTAAACGAGGATTTTCGACAACAAGTGGACGAACTTTTCCAACCGATGTTGTTATGTTAGCTATTGAAGGATTATATCGACAGGTATAAACAAAAGAAGAATTTCATTTGGTAAAAGATAATTAGTTGTTCTTAATATTTATAGAATACTAAAGAATCATTAGTTAAAGCCAAAGAACTTATTACAAAAGTTAGAGAACGTGATGCTGATAGAAATCCACGTACAGCTGCTATGACAGCATTATTAGCTATTCAACAAGGTGAACCTCAATTTGCTATGGAAGTTTTAGGATCTGTTCGAGCACAAAATTTTGCAACAGTACCAAATATTCGAGTATGAATATATTTATATATATATTGTATTTTAATCAAATTTCAATATTTTTTATTTTCAAAGGCAATTTGTTATTCTGATATGGGACGTGTTGAAGAAGCAATAAATGTTGTTCATTTACTTGCTGAAAAAACACCAGTTAATAGTGATCGTCGACGAGTTTTTCCACTTGTAGTAAGTAATTGAAATAAATAATTTATTTTAAGAAAAAGAACGATTTTGTTTTTCAGATGCGACATATTCGAACAGCCGTTGAAAAAACTAAAGATGAAAGTCTTTTAACACGTTTTGAAGAATTATCAAAATTTGTTTTAAAAAATAATCGTCTATCAACAACAGATTTACCAGAATATCTTAGTGAACTAATCAAGTAGAAGATTTATTTTTAATTTTCTTATTTAATCTATTATGTTTTAGTCGTCGTGGTCCAACTAGACAAAATACACAACAAAATGTTCGTGGTAGTTTTCAACGAACAGTTGGAAATCTTGTAAATATTAAAATAAACAAAAAAAAAACGAACAAAAACTTTTTTTCTTTCTAGCGTAATCGCGGAGATTCTAATCAAGGATCAGATAATTCAAGACAAGGAAATAGAGGTTGATTTTATCAACAATCTAATGGATATAATAGAAATAATCGATTTGAAAATAA